ATTCGCGACGGCGATGATGACGATTGAGGCGGGGGGCAGTGGCGGCTGCGGCGACCCCCAGCGCAGCCTACGCCCCCCCCCCCTGGCCAGTGCACGAGGAGGATCAACGAGCGAGGAGGATCGAGGAGGCTCGATCTGAGGGAGAGGGGGGAGGAGGAGGAAGAGCATGAGGAAGGCTGCCTCACTTGGCTTTCCCCGTGCTGACAACCTTCTTCTCCTTAGCTGCCTTCGCCGCCTGGGCCTTCTTCTTCTTGGCCAGGGTCTCCGCCGCCTTAGCCTTGAGCGCGGCAGCCTTGGCCCTCTTCTTGTCCGCCGCGGCTGCCTTTTGTGCGGCCTTCTTCTCCGCGGCGGCGGCCTTCTTGGCCTTCAGCGCGTCCTTCTTCTTCTGGGCGGCCGCCTTCTTTTTTTCCGCCTCGGCCTTCCTCTTGAGCGCCGCGGCCTCCTTGGCGGCCTTCTTCTCCTCGAGCTTCTCCGACATGGTCTTGATGCCGACTTTGGCCTTCCACTCCTCCTCTTTTCCAGTTGCAACGTATGCCTTCATTTTCTCTGCGTATCGTGCCGTGTCCAGCTCGTACGCCTCGTTGTATGGCTTCCGCTGCGCCTCCGACATGCCCTTCCAGGAGTCACTCGCCTCCTTCGTTAGGACCGTCGGCTTAGCGTCTTTGTTTTGCTCCCTCTTCTCAGCCACAAACCGCAGGAAACCTGTGAGTGGTCTCTTGGGTTTGTCTGGGTCTCGCTTGAACGCGTCCTTCTTCCCTGAAGACACGTACTGATCGTAAGCACTCCTGTACACCACCGCCTCCTTTTCGTAGGCGGCCTCGTAGGGCTTCTTGCGCTCCGCGGGCAGCGCCTTCCACTCGGCTCCCGCCGCCTTCATGAGGTCCTTCCCGGAAAGGTCGGCAGGCTTCTGCGAACGGAACTCACTCAGGAATCGCAGATACGCGCTCGTGGGCCTCTTGGGCCTGTCCGGGTCCACCCGCCTCTGCGCGGCCAGGCCCCTGCAGGCCACGAGCCAGGCCGCGTGTGGCTGGAGAGCAGGTCCGGGCGCGACGGGGGGAAGACCCAGACATGCGACGCCCTGATTGTCTCAGCGCGGCCTCCCCGGAAGCCCAGACCCTTTCCCCGGGGCCGACCTCGACGGTCCCGGGGCCGGGCGACGGCCCCCATGGTGCCGAAAACAACGCAAAGCTTGCCGTCCTGCGAGTCCCCAATCAGTGCTTGCACTAAAGGGGTCCCAGCGTGACTACCTACCAGACCACCCCAACCCAACCCGAAGACCCAAATTTGACCCGAATTTCTGGTTGGGGAGGGTACGGGTTCCATGTGTTTTTTCAACGTTCTCCGACCCCCCCCCCACTGGAAATGGAGGGCAAATTGAGGCCTTCGGGTTGGGTTGGGGTGCTCTGGTAGGTGGTGACAGCGGAAGTTGAGAGCTTTGGCGAAAGCTTCCCGCCGATTTTGGTAGCAGGCCGGGTTCCCGGCTTCCTGCAGGGGTTCCCGGTTATATAGGCTCCGGGCCGATTTCGGTGGGTTCTGGGTTCCCGGGCTCCCGGGTTCTCGGTCGATCTCCTCAGCGAAAACCATCCACTGATTGGGGTGTTTCTCTGGTGTAATTCCTCTTGAGCCTGGAACGCGCCTCCTGGACGAGCTGCACGCAGCTCGTCCCGACGCCGTCCCTTCGGCGGCGCCGATGTGGTCTGCCGAGCTCATCGTCGCCGCCTGTCGCCTCAAGAGCAAACCAAGACAGTCCCAACCAGAAATGTTCTAAGAACATTTCGTGGAAGCCACAAAAGGTTCTTAAAACATTGCTTGGTAGGGCTATAGGCACGCCAGGACGCTTTGCCACTGCTTGATTTTAACGACGCGACCATGTCTGGGGAGGAAGGGCAGCCGCCGCGTGCCACAGGGGCCCGCGCAGGCCGGCGGGCGCTGGCGGCGGAGCCCGGGCGGCGGCCGCCGCCCCGCGGCTCGCCCACCAGCTCTGGACACCTCCTTGCTGGGCACGGTTTCCACCACCGCCACAATGAGTAGTATGAGGAGGAGGAGGAGGAGGAGGAGGAGGAGGAGGAGGAGGAGGAGGAGGAGGAGGAGGAGGAGGAGGAGGAGGAGGAGGAGGAAGGAGGAGGAGGAGGTGATGATAGGAGGAGGAGGAGGAGGAGGAGGAGGAGGAGGAGGAGGAGGAGGAGGAGCCCCTCCCCCTCCAACTTATGGTGATGGTGGTGGTGGAAAACAGGCCCATCACTCCTGGCCGGCGGCCCAGGCGAGCGGCCATCTGTGCGCGCGCCGCGCCGGACGCCATCGGCCAAGCGGCGCCCCAGGGGAGAAGGGCACGCGGCGGCGAAGCCCGCGAGCCGGCGGCCTGCACCTACAAGCCTTGAGCCAAGATGGCGACGGGAAAAGACCCACGTTCAAGGTTTGATTGTTTGGAGGGTTCGATGCGTTGTCTTTCTGGAGCCCTCCCAAACACCCTTCTCGTTTTTCTTTTGGGGGGGGATAGGGGTGATGTGCCTCCAGAAGATCCCCCCGCAAGGGGTCGGTTTGGGAGGTTTTGTGACTGGGGTTTCGGTCCCCGGGGGACGGCCGCTGCCCGGTGCCCTGCCGCCCGGCCTCCTCCGCCTCTCCCGCCCATCCTTCGCCTCCCCCCAGACATACTCTGATGCGCTTTTGTTCAAGCCGCGGCCCCTGAACTCCCGAGTCAGGGATCCATTTCTGGTGGCCCTGGGGCCCGGCATCGTGAGCCCCGGAAGCCCAGATCGAAGAAAAAACGCCACTTGACAAAACGATGTCGCCGGAAATCTGGGCTTGCGCCCGCCTGCAGCTGACGTCCCCCTGGCCTCCTCCGCCGCGCCCGTCCCCACCGAATGAGGAGACGGTCTGAACATCGATGGGACAAGGCAGCTCTGAAGTCCCGGAAGCGTGGGGCGAAGCCTTGATTTTCTGGCTGGTGCCACGTGCCCTCCCCAGCCTGGTTCGCCTCCGACCCTTCCCGCTCCTCTTGCGCTGTCGTCTACGTGCGACTGGCCCTGGCCAGGAGCGGCCGCTGGTGCGGACAATGTTTGTGTTACTTCTGGGTCACGGTCGCTGCCCGGGGGGGGGATTGAGGCTCCGGGTAACGGTTCCGGTTGGGCGGAGCGGGGCACGTCGGGGCGGGGGGGGCGCTGTGCGCGAGCACCAATGTGTGAGGGGCTCAGGCCCCCCCTACTTCATGACAGCTTGTGATGAAGGAAAACAACCCAGGGGCGTGATATAGAAAATGGTTTCCCTGCTCGGGCGAGTCGCGGGGCAACGCCCGCCAAAGTGAAACACATCACGGCGGCGCCGGTGATTAGCGCCGACACCCGGCCGACAGTTGGAGGGCGACAGGCGCGACGCAAGCGGCGCTGTTCCTGCATGGTGGACATCGTCGCCGCCGCTACAGTGGGGCGCTTCGGCCAAAATTGCTATAGACAAAAAAGAAAGACGAGGCGGGAGGAAGAGGCGCCTCACAGCTGGCGTGCGGTGATTGCGTGAGTACAAGCAAGATAAGGGGGGAGGGGGAAGGAGCGACAGGGCAGGCGGCAAGTGTTCCTCCTTCTCCTTCTCCGAGCCTTCTCCCCCCTTCCCCGCCCCCCCTCCACAACAATATGTCCTATGGGCCATGGGGGGGTGTTGCGTGGACCCGGTGTGGTCGACCACGGCGATGGCAGCAGACAGGGCCGACGACGAGACGACCGACGACGCGCTCGCGCACGCTGCGGATGCCCCATGGGTACTGGGGGGTGATGCGAAGGGCTGCCGTGGAGGACGAGGACAAGGATGAGGACGACGATGAGGAAGAGGACGAGGGCGAGGAGAAGAAGGAGAAGGAGGAGGAGGAGGACGACGAGGGGACGACGACGACGACGACGACGACGACGACGACGACGACGACGACGACGACGACGACGACGACGGCGGCGGCGACGACGACGACAACGATGACGACGACGACGAGGACGGCGGCGGCGGCGGCGGCGACGGCGATGGCGACGGCGACTGCGGACGACGACGAACGCTCTGCGGATGGCCGGTTGTGGGGGGGCTGCTGCTGCGCAGGCCCGCTGTTATCGACGACGGCGACGGCGACGACGGCGGATGACGATGCACTGCGGTTGGCCCAGGGGGATGGGGGGGTGTTGCTGCGCAGGTCGGCTGTGGTTGACGAAAACAACGACGAGAACGACGACTGTGGCACGTCTGTAGGCAGCCTGAGAAAGGAGAGACTTTGCCTGGGATGTATAAGATCACAATTGCAACTTCGATGCAAAACGCAATCGTTTTTAGGCTGCCGCGCAGAGGGGGTACGCGATCCGCTCGGCGTCGCTGGCGCCGAGCCCCTGGCGCGCGCGATTAAACAAATAGTTTCGCACCTCGCGGGTTCTATGCATCAGCCTCGGAGAGGGGTGGGGGGCCTGGAAGGGTGCGTCATTTTGTTAACCACAAGCTGATCTTGCGATCGTTATCGTTACCTTGTGGGGTGGGGTGGGGAGGTGTTGGCCCGGGTAACGGCCGTTACGCGGCAGAGGGTAACGAAACAAGCGCAGCTTTCGGGGGCCGTGGGGAGGCCAGATCCAAGCGCGCAAGCTAATGCTGGGTCAACCCTGTGGGCCCGCACTTACGCGCAGCCGAAGGTCCACCTCCACCTCTGCGCCGCACCCGGCCGGCGAGCAGTCCATCCCCCGTGTGGGGGCGGGGGGGGCAGCGCCCCCTCGCCCGCCCTCGATGTTTTCAGCACGAGGCGCAGCCCCAGAGACCAGAGACACTTCTCCCCACGCGTCAGCCGACTCAGTGGTCAAATCGCGCTGCAACAAAAAACGTGGAATCAAACCGTAGAGTTGGAGCCTTGGACATGGGTACTAACACCAGCACAGGGGTTTGGCTCTGCCAGGGGAAGATAATCCTAGAGTTTGGCGTTGGTCTTCTTTCGGCCATCTAGGAAGCCAAAATATGACCACTGTGACGGAGATCGGGATCATCCTCCCTCAGTGGAGGCACGCGTCCAATATGGGTGCTGGTGTCAACCTCTTGGCCTCCGACAGGGAGGTCCCCTTCCCGTCGTCCTCGATGCTGGGCAGCCGCGCCGCGAAGGCCTCGGTGGTCAGCTCGCCGCCGGGCACGAAGCCGTCGGCGCCTGGGTCCGCGGCCGCCAAGGGAAGGCGGCAGCTCGTTTTTCTAACCAACCTGTGGTGTTGGGTCTTCGTTTTGAAGAGACGGTCCCCGAGTTCCTCCTCCCTCCTCCCTCCCCCTCCTCCCCCTCCTCCCCCCCGCCCAGCGCAGCGCTTCGTGGCCCCATAGGGAGCTTCACCGAAGAAGATATTCACAATTGCGGTACCCACAACTGCATATGGTTGGGTCCTTCGCCAAGATAATTTTCAATATTTCCTGGATGTTAGTTTTCCGCCCCTGTTCCCCTAATTCCAAGTGTTCTAACGCAAGTCAGCGTTCAATTGTGCTCGTGTTTACTTTCCTTCCTCAAGCACAGTACCTGGGTCGGATGCGAGGGTCTGATCTGGCCTGGTGAGTCGCAGGCTGCGGGCAGCCCATAAACGCGTGCGACGGCATGCAGATCGGCGCGTCTGCGCGCTCGCCCACGCATGTGAAATCAAACATCGTGCGAGCGTTGCCTCGAAGAAAGCAGTGACACAGGAAGGTAGATAGAGGGGGGCACACCCAGGCAGGCGTCCGCCCATATCATGTTCTCAATCCGCGGGTGGTTTTCGTTCCAGATCCATCTTTGATGACCCTCAAACCCGATACTGGGCCCAGGAGGCTGAAACCCAGGAAAACACGATGCATTGAACAAATTATCCTGGCGAAGGACCCAATCATATGCAGTTGTGGGTGCCGCAATTGTGAATATCTTCTTCGGTGAAGCTCTCTATTTGGCCACGAAGCGCTGCACTGGGTGAGGGTGAACGCATGCGGGCGGTAACACTGAGGCCGCCGGTGGAGCTCCCTATGGGGCCACGAAGCGCTGTACTGGGTGGGTGAAAATGCCAAATTGGATTTCCGGGGCGCGTGTGGACGGTCCCACTGGGGGCTTCGGTGGAGTTCCCTATGGGGCCACGAAGCGCTGCACCGGGTGGGTGAAAATGCAAAATTGGCCTTCCGGGGCGCATGCGGACGGTGGCACTGGGGGCTTCGGTGGAGCTCCCTATGGGGCCACGAAGCGCTGCATTGGGTGGTGAAAATGCCAAATTGGGCTACCTGGACGCATGCGGACGGTGACACTAAGGGCTCTGGCGGAGCTCCCTATGGGGCCACGAAACAATGTACTGGGTATTTGAAAATGCGAAACTGGGTTTTCGGGACGCATGCGGACGGTGGCGCTGGCGCCTTCGGAGCTTCCTATGGGGCCTCGAAGCGCTGTATTGGGTGGTTGAACATGCCGAATTAGATTTCCGGGGCGCATGCGGACGGTCCCACTGAGGGTTTCGGTGGAGCTCCCTATGGGGCCACAAAACGCTGTACTGGGTGGGTGAAAATGCCGACTGGGATTTCTGGGCCGCATGCGGACGGTCCCACTGGCGCCTTCGGTGGAGCTCCCATGGGGCCACGAAGCGCTGTACTGGGTGGGTGAAAATGCCCAATTGGATTTCTGGGGCGCATGCGGACGGTCTTACTGGGGGCTTCGGTAGAGCTCCCTGTGGGGCCACGAAACGTTGTACTGGGTGGGTGAAAATGCCCAACTGGGCTCCAGGGGCGCATGCGGACGGTGGCACTGGGGGCTTCGGTGGAGCTCCCTATGGGGCCACGAAGCGTTGCATGAGGGCGTGAAAATGTCAAATTGGGTTTCCGGGGCGCGTGCGGACGGTCTTACTGGGGGCTTCGGTAGAGCTCCCTGTGGGGCCACGAAACGTTGTACTGGGTGGGTGAAAATGCCCAACTGGGCTCCAGGGGCGCATGCGGACGGTGGCACTGGGGGCTTCGGTGGAGCTCCCTATGGGGCCACGAAGCGTTGCATGAGGGCGTGAAAATGTCAAATTGGGTTTCCGGGGCGCGTGCGGACGGTGGCACTGGGGCCTTCGGTGGAGCTCCCCATGGGGCCACGAAGCGGTGTTCTGGGTGGGTGAAAATAAAAGTTCCGGGACGCATACGGACGGTGGCACTGGGGGCTTCGGTGGAGCTCCCATGGGACCACGAAACGCTGCAACGTGTGGGTGAAAATGCCAAATTGGATGTTTCCGGGACGCACGCGGACGGTGGCAATGACGCCGTCGGTGGAGTTCCCTATGGGCCACGAAGCGCTGTACTGGGTGGGTGAAACGCAGGGAGGAGGAGGGGGAGGAGGGGGAGGGAGGAAGGAGGGAGGAGAAACGCGGGGACCGTCTCTTCAAAACGAGGACCCAACACCACAGGATGGTTGGAAAAACAAATTCCTCGGATTCTCCTCGGATCTCTGGAAAAGATGGGGGGCCACCTCGCTCGGAGACGCCAACATAGATCGCGGGAAGCGCCTGGCGGCCGGGCCGAAACCAGCTGCGCGCGGAGATTTCGCCCCCCCCCCCCCCCCCCCCTTTCAGGGGCGTCCAAAAATGGGGCGTCCAAGGAGGGGGCCAATCCCCTCTCTTCTGGGGGGCGTCTAAGAAGGGGGCGTCCAAGAGGGGGTGTTCGCAAAGCATGGTCCGAGGCGTGTGCGCGGCGGGGGGCCAGGGGACGTACTGAGACAGGAAGAGGCGCCATGAGATCTGGGGAGGTTACCACGGCCACCGCCATGAGATCCCCCCCCCCCCTGGTCATCACCCCCCTCTTGGACGGCCCCGAGAACCTCGAACCTCACCCCCCCTCCTGCTGGCGGGAGCCAGGCGGCCATGGGCCACCTCAGACCCCCAGCCAGCTCCAATCCGAGTCTCGCCATCGCTCGGACGCCCATTCCCCGTTAATTTTTCGGCTTCGCGCGTGAAATCTCGGGAGAGTATCATGGCCCCCGCCATGACATCCACCCCCCACTGGTCATCACCCCCTCTTGGCCGCTCCCGATCTTCGTCCGGCCCGCAAATCAGCAGAAAATTCCCAATCCCGCCCCTTCGTCCGCACGAAAAAAAACGAGCGAGTAGGAGGGATAAGTTGCTACGGTTGCGGCAATCAGTTCAGAGTATATACAAAAAACGCCGGTGCATACTCGCACCCTGCGTCTGCGACAAGTCAAAGATTAATCTCGAGACTCGTGGGAAGAAGAGAAGGAACAGAAGGAGGAGGCGGTCCTTCGTCGAGCCCCCGCAACAGCTCAGTGTCGAGGTCCGTCCACGTCTCACGGAACGCGAAGATATCTTGCGCCTCTCCGCCCTTCGCCCCGCAAAAAACGACCATAGTAGCACGGTGCGGGATGAATGTATCTATGTGCGCATATAAGCGTTTACATATACACGCATCCGTCTATGTCTAATACAACTCATGTGTATCCACCGACCCACCTCGCTTGCAGGGAGTGCAAGGAAGTGTGAGATGATTGGCTGTCTCCTCCCCCCTTTTCCCCCTCCCCTGGGTCGAAAGTGCTGTTTGAGGGGGGGGGGGGTACCAAGGAGCTCCCCGGCGGCGCACCTCCTGGGCCGTCCGTGCCTCCACTCCCGGACGCCACCAGGATGCCCAACACGCTGTCTAAGACGGCTCCAGGAGCGCTCGTAGATGGAGATGGCCAAGGGGCCCCAAGACGGCTCCAAGTGGCCACAGAGCCTGCCAGGGATACTTCCAAGCCAATTGGTTGTAAATGATGTTTGCCTCCCTTTGCCCTTATTCCGCCGATGGTCTTTGAGGCCTCAAGATGGCTCCAGTATCGCCCAGGAGGGCCCCAAGAGGAGCCCAGAAGCGCTCAAAGACAGCCCCGAAAACCAACCAAGCCCGCCGCAAGACCGTCTCAAGAGGACTCACGTCCACATTGATTGGCCTCAAACTGGGCGACTCTGACTTAGGACCCCCCTCTTCGGATCACTGGCCTCCAGGGTGTTCCGAAGCCCCCGGTGCCTCCCAGCCCCCCGCCCTCCCCCTTCCTCCTCCTCCTCCTCCTCCTCCTCCTCCTCCTCCTCCTCCTCCTCCTCCTCCTCCTCCTCCTCCTCCTCCTCCTCCTCCTCCTCCCCCTCCTCCTGCTCCTGCTCCTGCTCCTTCTCCTGCTCCCCCCTCCCCCCCTCCTCCTGCTCCTGCTCCTGCTCCTTCTCCTGCTCCCCCCTCCCCCCCTTGACCGCCCCCCAAAATCTCTCGGACACAGGACTGCCGCTTGCCCCCGCGACGAGCCATCCGAGGGCCCCAACCAGTGCCCGGGCGCCTCACGACCCTCCAGGGACGGCCCTCAAGACGGCCGACGGAGCGCGCGCGGGCGACGCTGGGCGCCCCAGAGGCTCTTGTGGAGGCGGGCGTGGCCAGGACGCACCCCTCCAGGATCCCTCCAAGATTCTTAAGATGCCTCGGGGACCTTCTGGGCACTGACCTTTGATGGCGCGTGCAGGGGGGTGGAGCGTGGGGGGGGGGCCCTCTGAGACGGCGGAGGAGAAGGCGGAGGAGCTGCTTATCCGGGAAGGGCCTTCTTCGAAGGCCCCGGAGGCTTCCGAGACGGCTTCTGAGGAGCCGGGAGGGCCTCCTTAGCAGCCTCCCCGCCTTCTTGAACGGCCGGCCCTTCGTGTCACCCCCTTGTGTGCGCTGCCAAGATTTCGGACCCTTCACGATCGCTCTTGGGACCCGCCCCCATATGGTTGATAATCTGGTTCCCTCTGCAGCAACAAAAGCTCTACATATCGTTGTACAGTCGTTGGCGTTCCTATGGGGCATGGCCCATCGGTCTCAACACCAGATTCACCAGGTTCACCTGACTGAGCAGAAACGAATGTTATACAGGAGAAGCTGTCGGGACTCCATCCAGAGTGGTAAGGTAGACAGGGATGCGCAGACTGACTCTTGGCAACGTCGTGTTCGAGAAGCACTCGGGCACCGCCAGAACATAGATGGCCCAAAAACTAAGAAGAACAGCCTCGAACAACGCATACCCGAGTGGCACATACAAGAAGAGGACAGGCCGAAACAGGATACGAAGACAACAACCCATAACAGATCACGGCGCGCGCGTGTGTGTGTGTGTGTGTGTGTGTGTGTTGCGTCCGCGCCTCCCGTTCACGCCCCGTGCAGGGCAACACTTCATCTTCCCGCCCCATCTCCCCTGAACCCACGCCCCCCGTGATTGCTTCGGTGACGCAGCGCTATCCGGTTGGCCCGTCGAGGTGCGAGGAAGAGGCCCATGTAATCCTCTTGATCAGAACACCGCCGCCGAAGGCTCTCGTGCCCTGTTGTGCTTCGAACTCTGTTCTGCTTCCCGTCGTCGCCTCGGAGGCCGAGCCGAATCGATAGATCACCGCCGCCCTAAGCAGCAGGCACGCTGCGGAGGCGGACGGCGCCCTGCTGCCTGGCCGTGCAGCTGGCTCGACGGCAGGGCGCGAAGAGCGGGAGGGCATGTGGGGATGATAGGGGACGGGGAGAGGCGGTCGCTGGATTGAAAGCGTAGACGCCCTTCTCTCCAAGGCACCGCGATATCGATGTACATCAAGTCAACATCTGACACACACACACACACACCCCAACCCGTTCGGGGGAGAGGGGGGGTACGAGGCATATACAGAAATCCGGTTGTGAAATCTAAATTCATGCCATGGTTGTGGACACTTATTGTCCAAGCACTGAGGAGGAAAAGTCCTGTCGCGCCAGCCCAACTGCCGCTGCCACAGAATCTGGTCCTGATCCCAAGCCCCGAGTGTGTCATCCCCTCCTTCAGCTCGCTCAGCCTCTGCAGTGCCTCGAAGGCCTCCTCGTACAGGTGCTGGTTCGCCTCAAAAGTGTGGTTGTCTAAATACCTCGGCTCGCTCTCTGGCTCTCGGGGGAAGGGGCGAAGAGCGAAGAGGAACAGGAGGAGCAGAGGCAAGAGGAGATGGAGAGTTCCCAAGAAGCATCAGAGAGACCTCCAGTGAGGGGCAACAATACGGGGGGGACCGGCTCAAAGGGGGAAACACAGTGCTGGAATCGGCGATACATCGCCGATATATCGGCGACCGCGAAACAGCACGTTCCTGGGTGGGCTGGGCTATCGGGCCACTATCGGCGATGAGTGGGCGATCGGGGATCATCAATGCTCCCCCCCTCCCCCCCTGACTTTCTGTGGGACAGGAAGAAAACCTGGAAACCATTACGTCTGGCTCCTCTGACCTATCGAACATGGGGGGGCACTCCCGGGCTTTCGGGCTCGACGGTCCAGACTCCAGCCTTCGGCCTCCAGCGGGTGTGCCTGCCGTGGCTGGACGTCTCAACAAGCAGACAGAGTTCGTGCAATAACTTCGGACTCAACGCCAGCGACGGGAGGACGAAGAGGAGGACGGCGAGAGGAACGCATGCACTCAAGGGGGCACTCACTCCCTCTGATCCCAGACATCCGACGAGATGTTTTTCTCGCGGCCCCAGAGATCCTGACCCCGTCCCCGGGGCCAGTTTTTCGTCCCAGATCTGTTTTTGGTTGTCAGGACGCCCGAAAACGGCCGCCGAGGGCCAGAAACGAGGAACAACAGCCAGTTGCGCAAAATCATATCTTTGGAGATCTGGGACATCGAGGAGCCAGGAGAGCCCAGACTCGAATCGATAAGTCGGATCGGCGATCGAAAGTCATCGGATCGGCGGACATCGGCAGCCAAGCCGGGAGAAACCGAAGCCCCCCACCAGAATCTGAAGTCGAATCGACTTGGCATCGGCATCGGGCGAGCCCGAATCGAATCGAGCCGGGCGAAAGGGGGGGATAGCAAAAGGGGGGTTTGAGAATCAACTCACGTAGCAGATTTTCCCGGCGCCTCCCGGCGCCGGAGGCGCCCATGTATCGAGGAATGGGCCCCTCGGTGAGGCCGAAATCAGCTGCACGCAGCAAATTTCGTAACCCCCCCTTTCCCAATCCCCCCCTTTCGCCTGGCCCGAGTCTAGGGGAACAAAAAGTGGCATAAACATAACAACTCGGAGGTCCGCGCGGATTTCTCGGATCGGCGCTGGACCCCCCTCCCTGGCGCGCGGAGCGCGCCAGGGACGGCGCCGGAGGCGCCGCCAGGGCGGTCCAGCGCCGATCTGAGAAATCCGCGCGGACCTCCGAGTTTTTGTGTTTATGCCATTTTTTGTTCCCCTGGATGACGAACGAGCAACACACACCCATACCCATAGGGGGGTCGTTGGGAGGAGGAATGGCTATGGGTATGGGTGCGGGTTGTCGGACCCTGGGGAACGCTCCCGTTCGAGCGGGGACCCCCATCCGACAACACGCACCCATAGCCCTCCCCAACCCCTCTATGGGTATGGCTGTGTGCTGTTGGTTCGTCACTGGAGCCGGGCGGAGCCCTGATAGGGGGCACTCCCTCGAAGGATTGCAAAAAAACCCTCATTTGAACGAAGGATTGCAAAAAAACGAAGGATTGCAAAAAAAACCCGAAGGATTGCAAAAAAACCCTTTTTTTGCAATCCTTCGGGTTTTTTTTTGCGAGCCCTGATAGGGGGCACTCCCTCACCCTCCCCAGCTGCAGGAGCTCCTCGTCCGCGTCCACGGCCGGGAAGTCCGCGCCCGTGGTGAGGTTCGCGGCGCCGAGGGCCGCGCCGTCCCCCGGGCAGATCCGCCGAGGCCGGGGCCCCGCGGGAGCGGGCGGGCCTCGCCCTGCGCAGCGCCGCCCTCGAGGGGCACCGCCTCCACCGAAGGCTTCTCCGACCGACGGCAGAGGGGAAGATTTGCACGTCGGTCGGAGGAAGCGAGGTGAAGACATGAAGTAGGAAGGTGGATCAGGTTGATTGGGCCCAGGCCCCCCCGGGAAGTAGCAAAACACGGCGAAAGCGTGTCGGTTCTTGAGGTAGGAAGGCGCTGGAAGTAGATTGGGATCCGGGGTTCCAAAAATACCTACTTTCAACGACCGGCGTGTAGTGGACACTCCGCCGCTCCCCCAAAACTCAAAGTTGGCACGCGCGGGGAAGACTGCGGTCGAAGTGCAGCTCGTTCCACCCACCGCCAACATTGATCAATGGGGGGGGATTGACATATGAATGCAGCATGAGTGTTCGCTGATTTCTCCCGAGGCCTGGATCATGTGATGAAGAAAATCATCGTTTAAGAAGTCTGGACCAGCTTCCCAGAGGTTTCTCGAAAGAGACCTGGGCCAGTTCCCGCTGCCGACGCTGGAGGAGGGGCGAACGTGCTCGAGAAACTGGGCCAGCTTTCCGGCAGGCTGGTTGAGAAACGTCCGCGCGGATTCCTCGGGACGGCGCGGAGCTCCTCCGGCTGCGCCTCCGGCGCCGCCCCTGGCGCGCTCCGCGCGCTGGGGGGGGGGGGCGCAGGGCCCAGCACCGACCCAAGAAATCCGCACGGAGCTCCGAGAGTTGACGATGCGCAGCTGCTTGCTGTTCCCAGCCGTCCTGTGGCGTTGGGTCCTCGTTTTGCAGAGACGGCGCCCCGCGCCCCTCCTCTCCTCTCCTCTCCGCTCCTCTGCTCTCCTCCTCCTCCTCCTCCTCCTCCTCCTCCTCCTCCTCCTCCTCCTCCTCCTCCTCCTCCTCCTCCCTCCTCACTCCTCCTCCTCCTCCCCTCCTCCTCCTCCTCCTCCTCCACCCCTCCCCCTCCCCCTCCTCCTCCTCCTCCTCCTCCTCCTCCTCCTCCTCCTCCTCCTCTCCTCCTCCTCCTCCTCCTCCTCCTCCTACCCCTCCTCCTCCTCCTCCTCCTCCTCCTCCTCCTCCTCCTCCTCCACCCCCTCCGCTCCCCTCCCCCTCCCCTCCATCCTCCTCCTCCTCCTCCTTCCTCCTCCTCCTCCTCCTCCTCCTCCTCCTCCTCCTCCTCCTCCTCCTCCTCCTCCTCCTCCTCCTCCTCCTCCTCCTCCTCCTCCTCCTCCTCCTCCTCCTCCCCCTCGTCCCTCCTCCCATCCGCCTCGTCACCTCCCTGCGTTTCACCCACTCGGCACAGCGCTTCGTGGCCCCACAGGGAGCTCCACCGAAGGCTCCAGTGGCAGGGTCCGCATGCGCCAACGCCACCCAGCACAGCGTTTCGCGGCCCCGTAGGGAGCTCCACCAAGGGCTCCAGTGGCAGGGTCCGCGTGCGTTAACGCCACCCAGGACAGCGTCTCGTGGCCCCATAGGGAGCTCCACCGAAGGCTCCAGTGGCAGGGTCCGCCTGCGTCAGCGCCACCCACGACAGCGTTTCGTGGCCCCATAGGGTTCTCCACCGCTCTAGTGGCAGGGCCCGCCCGCGTCAGCGCCACCCAGGACAGCGTTCCGTGGCCCCATAGGGGTCTCCACCGAAGGCTCCAAGTGGCAGGGTCCGCCTGCGTCAACGCCACCCAGGACAGCGCTTCGTGGCCCCATAGGGAGCTCCACCGAAGGCTCCAGCGGCAGGGTCCGCCTGCGTCAACGCCACCCAGGACAGCGTTTCGCGGCCCCATAGGGAGCTCCACCGAAGGCTCCAGTGGCAGGGTCCGCGTGCGTCAACGCCACCCAGGACAGCGCTTCGTGGCCCCATAGGGAGTTCCACCGAAGGCTCTAGTGGCAGGGTCCGCATGCGTCAACGCCACCCAATGTAGGCACACCCCTCGCACTGTTCGTGGCTCCATAGGGAGCTCCACCGAAGGCTCCAGTGGCAGGGTCCGCATGTGTCACCGCCACCCAGGACAGCGTTTCGTGGCCCGATAGGGAGCTCCACCGAAGGCCCCAGTAGCATCGTTCGCATGCGTTTTCCCCACTTGGGACAGCCGTTGTGGCCAGCTCCACCGAAGGCAGCAGTGGCGCAGTTCGCATGCGTCTCCCGCACCCATGACAGCGTGTCGTGTCCCCGTAAGGAGCTCTACCGAAGGCTCCAGCGGCAGGGCCCGCGTGCGTCATCGCCACCCAAGACAGCGTTTCGTGGCCTCATAGGGAGCTCCGACGGAGGCTCCAATGGCAGGGTCCGCATGCGTCAACGCTACCCAGGACAGCGTTTCGTGGCCCCATAGGGGGCCCCACCGAAGGTCCCAGTGGCGCCATGTGAACGCGTCTCCCCCACTCAGGACCGCGTTCCGTGGCCCCGTAGGGAGCTCCACCGAAGGCGGCAGTGGCGCAGTTCGCATGCGTCTCCCCCACCCATGACAGCGTTTCGTGGCCCCGTAAGAAGCTCCACCAAAGGCTCCAATGGCAGGGTCCGCATGTGTCACCGCCACCCAGGACAGCGTTTCGTGGCCCCATAGGGGGCTCCACCGGAGGCCCCAGTGGCTGTGACTACATGCGTCCGCGCCACCGATTTCGGCGCACCCCTCGCACGCTTCTTGGCCCCATACGGAGCTCCCGAAAGCTGTACCTACAATGCGGCACTCGCAATTGCATATGGCTGGGTCCTTCACCTATCTAAATTTATGTGCCGGGGGCAGCAAGTGGTCAAGAAGGTCTCCCGTGAGTCCCCTCAGCTTCCATGGCTGGGGGCTCCCTTTCCGGGAGTCGCGACTGGAGAAGTTCGCCACCCACCTCCAGGTTCGGCGTGTACTTACGGTGCTCTTTCTTGTTCTTCTTCGGAGGATGGTGTACAGACCGCCTGGCCGAGGCCAGGACGGCACACACGCACAACACACACAGAACACGCACAACACACAGAACACACACACAAAACACACGTGCAACACACGCACACACACACACAAAACACACACACAACACACACAACACGCAACACACACCACACACACCACACACAGAAACACACATGCACACACAAACAAACACACAAAAACACACAAACACACACAAACACATCCACACACACAAACACACAGACAACCACACATAAACACACATGCAAACACAACTACACACAACCACACACAAACACAAACAACACACACATCCACACACAACTACACACAACCACACGCAAACACAGACAAACACACACACACGAACACACACAAACAAACACACGCACACACAAGCACACACAAACACACACGCAAACACACACACAGACACCCACACACGCACCCACACACCCACACACCCGCACACCCAGAACCCACACACCCACACACCCACACACCCACACACCCACACACCCACACACCCACACGCACACACGCACACGCAAACGAACACGCACACGCATACGAACACGCACACACGCACACACGCACACACACATGCACACACGCACACACGCACACACGCAGACACGCACCCACGCACACACGCACACACGCACACATGCACACACGCACGCACGCACGCACGCACACACGCACACACACACACATTACACACGCATACACACCACACACGCACACACGCACGCACGCACACACACACACACATTACACACGCATACACACCACACACGCACACCCGCACACATACACCACACACCACACATACACCACACACCACACACACCACACACTCCACACACATCACACACACACACGCCGCGCACACCACACACACCACACACACCACACACACACACCACACACACCACACACACACCACACACACACCACACACACAAACACACACACACACACCACACACCACACACAAACACACAAAGACAAACACACACAAACACACACAAACAAACACACAAACACACAAACACACACACAAACACACTCAAACCCACGCAAACACACACAACCGCACACAAACACACACACACACACAACACGAACAAACACACACACACACAAACATACACAAACACACACAAACACAAACTCACACAAACACACACAAACACACACAAACACACAAGCACAACCACACACAACCACACACAAGAACACATACAATCACACACATACACTCACAGACACAATCACACACACACGCACATACCCACACGAACGCACACTCACACGCACACACACACACACACGCACACACCCACGCACACGCAAACACACACATGCACACACGCACACTCGCACACACGCACTCACGCACACACGCACACACGCACACACGCACACATACACACGCACACACGCACACACATACACACTCACACACATACACACGCACACACACACACACACATACACACGCGCACACACGCGCACACGCGCACGCGCGCATGCGCGCACGCGAGCACGCACGCACGCACACACGCACGCACGCGCGCACGCACGCACGCAAACACACCACACACACACCCACACCCACACCACACACACACACACGCACACACACACACACACGCACACACACACACACACGCACACACCCACGCACACGCAAACACACACATGCACACACGCACACTCGCACACACGCACACACGCACACACGCACACACGCACACACGCACACATACACACGCACACACGCACACACATACACACTCACACACATACACACGCACACACACATACACACGCGCACACACGCGCACACGCGCACGCGCGCATGCGCACGCGAGCACGCACGCACGCACACACGCACGCACGCGCGCACGCACGCACGCAAACACACCACACACACCCACACCCACACCACACACACACACCAACCACACACACACCAACCACACACAGACACAGACACCGACACAGACACAGACACAGACACAGACACAGACACAGACACACAGACACAGACATAGACACACACACACACCACACCACACCACACCACACCGCACCGCACCGCACCGCACCGCACCGCACCGCACCGCACCGC